ATTCTGAACCAGCATGAGCCGCAGGTTAAAACGATACAAGCGACAGCGTCCTGCGGGGCTGTGGGCTGCACGGGGAGCAGCCTTCCATGTGCGGGGGTCTGTTCTGTGGGGCAGCCTACAATCTGCATCCCAGGAGGGTGGCTTCAGAGAGGCGGCAGCCAGCAAGGCCTTATTAGTGATTGACACCACACCCAATATTCTATTAATAGAGCCAGAGAGGTGCTCCCCCATCAAGGTGCTGCGTTAGCCCGATTTAGCACCAAAGCTGGGCTGTGCCACTACAGTGGGCATGAGAAGGGGGCAGGCTCGTCCCTCCTTTAGGAGACTAAAGGCAGGAGGGAGAGAAAGCTCACAGTTCCCCACAGCAGCCTGCTCGAGCCAGAGCCAGAGGTGGAAGGCCCCAGGCAGACACAGGCTCTTGTGGAATTTCTATGCCTCCATCTAGCCTGCAGGCCCCTCACGGTGGCTGACAATGCAGGGCACAGGTGACATCTCTCTTGCTGCCTTCTCTCTGCAGGTGCTACGGAGCGAAATGTCTTCCACCACATCAACCCCCGCGAGCAGGGCCCGTCTGTTCCCGGGAGTCTACCTGTTAGGTACAAACACCTCTGCCCTTCTAGCACGTCTGCTCTGGCCCTGACCAACTGCAGAAGGGAGAGCCCTGCCCCAGGCCTGCGAGCCCTCTCGGGAGGCCTCTGTCCCACCCTCCAGCGAGAAAACAGGGAAGGGAAAGAAAAACTCAGAAACCTGAAGGTTGTTTGGAATTTATTCTCTTAAATAAGAATGGTAACATTTGTTAAAAAAAAAAAAATAAAAGCACAACACCTTAGTTTCACAGTAACGGCAAAAACAAAGTTACACAATTAAATTAAAAAACTCACAAAGAAACACACCAAAAACAACATCACAGGTTAAAAACAAGGGCAAAAATAAAGACTCGAGGGAAGGCCAGAGTGGCAGGGGCTGCGGTCCTTGGCTCAGCAACCCTCCCCTTGCTCAACTGCCTTGTCCCACAGCCCACCCTCACCCCACCCGCACCTCTGGCCCAAGCTGAATGGCCCAGAAAAAGTGAACCCCTTAATTTATGGGTCAGAACTTCAAGTTCACAACGAGGCCCCTTATGGGAGGAGCTAGAAATGGTCCCCTGTCCTACAGAGACCCACTAGGCGCAGGGGACATTCAGGCCAGCACATGGCCTGAATGCAAACAGAGGAAGCCGGGGTGTCTGGTTCTCTGCGGCATTCTATGAGAGCACAAAACCTGTTTTTTAGTGTGCGCTGAATCAACTTTCTGATTGGGTATTTATTGCTCATTTTGCTGAGATACCCCCCAAAAGCCCCCTCTCCATAGGTGTGTTGGGCTGTTCTGCTCCCCCCTAATCCTGACCAGAACACTAAGCAGGTCAGAGGCCTGGTTCCCAATATAAAGGTTCCTGTGGCTTCCAGAGCCAGGGAACAAGAAGCTTTAAAAAAGCGTCATATTATTATTATTATTCAGGTCAAAACATATAAATATCTACTTGTACATATGAAATTAAACCTATATAAATATATATCTGTATTCACACATCACCATGAGCTAGATTCTTGCGGTAGGGCTGGGAGTTATGCTGGATTGTAAAATTCTCTTTGCTCTACTAATAGGTTTTCCAGAAATGCCTAAAAGGGTGGAGAGGCGTTCAAAGCAGTGAAGTCTTCCTAATTTCCTCCTGACAGGCAGCACCCCCAGGACTGCAGGGCTTTCCTTGTACCGTGGGGCTCTCCTAGCTGCTGTGGGAAATGCCTGCATTTCTCAAAGGCCCATACAGCAGCCAACTATGGAGCCTAATGTGACCACAAGAGGGGAGTCTGGGGACACCAGGGGAGCAGGTGCCTGCCCCCCATTATTGCTAAGCAGGCTTTCAAGTTAAGATCATCTTTTCTATAAAATGACAGACAACAAATGAGTTTCTCCCATCCCATCTCTCTGTCACCGATACTGGGAGAAAAGCTTCTACTCCCTTCCAGGGATGTCCCACTGCCTTCATGTTTTATTTCCTGCTACCCATTATGAGGTGTAAAGGGGATTCCTTTCGATAAATAAAAGGATTGGAAATACTGAGGGTCTTGTATCCAAGGGAAAAAAACTCCATTTGGGGTTTCTCTTTCTCTGTCTGTTCTCTGCATTTTTCCTAAAGTCAGGGGAGGAACTAAGACAGTCTGCCAGGTCCACTAATCTGCAGCAGTAAGTCTAAGAAGTTTGGAAACAAAGCATTTACAGTTTTGACAACAGAAAAACAGGGCTTCTCAAGTGAATGCACATTACAAACAAAAATACTGTAAACAATGTCCTGCAGACACTAAATGAGGCAGCGGTTACAGGCGAGGGGTCAGAGAGAGACAACATGGTACAGCAGGCCTGGGGGAGGTTCTTTCAACTTGGGGGTGGTGGGTATTTGAGCAACAGCAGTAAACTTGGCATAAGGGGAAACGAGCAGAGTGGCTAAGGGGGAGATACAACAAATAAGAGGAGGGGCAGAGCCCCCTTGCAGGGTCAAGTGCCAGCACAGTGCTAGGGTCTGCTCTGCCTCTGGGGTGAGCATCTGGGAAGACAGTTTATATCTACACGGAATCCAGTTCATTCCTTCACAGCTTTTGGTTTTGTCTAGATGCAATGGAAGAGATGTGCCATGCTGCCTTAGTGGCTGTTGTCTGTGACCCATGCAGGGCCTCTGTAACACCTGAGTTTTCCCCAAAGTTTCTCAAAAGGAAATTCTCATTAACCAGTCTCTTACAACCGGCTAGTTAGAGGTTTAAAGGAGGAAATGCTTACGAATGGAGAAAAAGAAATCTGTTTCATGGCAACTATAAAATACCGCCCATAATTCTGTTCCTTTTTGACAGAGGCTAACAAACATTAGATGCTGTCCCGGGGGAGATGGAGGTGCTTTGGAGTAGGTTCAGACTCAGCTGTAATTTCCAGAAGCTTCAGGCCCTAGGCTCTCTGGCCTTGCACTGCTGGAGTACACATAGGCCTGTCTCATTCACCTTAGAGGGTCAAGTCCTCATGATCTAAGAGCAAGTCACCTTCAGAATCAAGAACTACTAGGTGGTTCTTGAACCACACTGCCATCTCTTATCGTCTCTCCCTGCTTTGTAGAATATTTTTCTTCTTTTCTATAGAACCCTTAATTCTTAAGAACGCCTAAAAACCCGGAATCAGGGTTTTAGGAGCTGTAAGTAGCAAATTGAACCAGATGGGAAAGTGAACAAACAGCTTGCTCAAGAATGACCTGAAAGTCACTGGGTTTAATTCTTTTTTAAAGAATGTTTTATACTTTATACCTACAAGAGGAAAGTGTGATTGCTTTGAGTTGTCTTACTAAATAGCCAGATTTCTTGAAAAATCCATCTCTGCTGGAATATGGCCCAGACTTACAAAGGTGTTGTTCTCACCTGGTCTCGAGCTGTCTCGAGGCTGGAGTCTCTGTCTAGGTCCCATTGGTTATTTTTCTCTGCTGGTGCATCCCCTCAGGGCTGAGAGGGCCAACAGGTAGGGTTGTTAGCATTTCATGAGGAACAGGGATTACAGGGGGTTTCAAGGCTGTGGAAGGTTTCAAAGTCACTCATGGCTTAAACATTGCTATAAAATGTGGGTCCAAGCTGCAGGACACATCCAGTGCCCCAGGTCAAGACAAGGGCATGCACAGCAATAGAGAGGAGTTCACTTGGCTCGGCTGGGTTCTCTGGGTCTTGGCTTCCAAACCCCTGCACCCAGGAACTACTTCTTCCCTACTCTGGGCATTCTCTCTCTCCCAGAAGGAGGCTTTCACTAGCTCCTAAGCACAGGGAAAGAAGCAGCTCTGGGAACTTCTCATTTGAAGGCCAAGCAGATAATTCTTCTCTTTTTCTATTATGGAAATTGCGCTAACAACCTCTTCTCCATAGTTTCTGGCATAGTTTCTGCTGGTACTCTAGTTTTTGTACAGTACCTTTCATGAGTTTGTAAGTGGCTGCTTGAGATCTATTTGCTTTGAACAAGAGGAAATGTGTGACAGACAGAAACACGGTGGTGTGGCCTCCACCTCTCGGTTGCACAGTGGCCCTGAGCTGCAAACAATCAGGGGTTCTGTCAAGGGCATCAGGACCACCCAGAATTTTGGGAAACCGTGGACACATCTCAGAGGCTGGTCTGACATGGAGGGGAACGGTCATTTTAAGGAATAAGCAACACGGATCTTTTTGACAAGCCCAGTGGCCGCCAGCCTGTCTCAGTTCTGCCCTGCTGAGACCAGGATAAACGTGTTCTTAGAGGTAGGCCCTGTGCCGTTCACTTCCTCACACAAGAAAATGGTTAGTGCACGGGAGATGAAGTAGGGCATGTTGTTCAGTGGTTACAAGTCAAGGAGAAGAGCAGTGTCAGCTTAGTTAGACACCTGAGTGGTGTCTAAATGGGGCCACTAAGTGGTGTCTAAATGGGATGCAAGAATTTCAAGTTCAGGTGAACACAGATCCAGGTCACGGGGCCTCATCACCATCCCATGTTGTCAAAGTCCAAGATGAAGCATGACAAGAAGGCCCTACAACTCTGCATTCTTATCGAGGTCAGCGCTGAAAGCAGCCTGTTTTGAATTCCTGCTTAACTAGGAAGGGCCTGTTTTGACCACCCCAATGGGTCTGTGAGGTGTGGGCAGGCCCTGGGTGACAGCAATCATATGGAGGCTTTGCTAGACGTATCTGGAGCTTGGGTGACACTGTGCACCTGTGGCGGGCGCCCCTACTGGCTCACGGTCTGCCAGTGAAACTCCCCTCTGATTTGTACCAGCACCTCCGACAGGCCATAGAGAAAGGGGACTCCGAATGCAAGCAGTTGGCACATGAAAAAGGAGTCCAGAGGGTTTTGGGCCACTTGATGCCCAATCGAAGAAATGTTGCTTTGGAGGTGCTGGCTCATCCCCTTGGCCTTGTCACAGAGGCCGAGAGAGTGACGCGCCACCCAGCCAAACAAGGAAGTGAGGCTACCTGGAGTTCTCTCGGCGGCGCTGGCGACGGTGCTGGCCCGTCCATTTGTGTCCACGGCGGGGCCGTCCTGCAGGGGTCCTCTGGCCTCCTAGAAAAGTCCACGAGGAAAGGAAGAATGGTTCTCACCGAAGCACACAGCTCTCGGGAGGCCAAGCGCCTGGCTGGCCCCTGCTGCGCTCACCGGTCAGCGCAGGGCTGTGGAGCTCACACAAGAAATCTTTTTTCAAAAAAACCAGGAAGCCACCAGGAGTCAAACTCCAGACCTGCCCTCACCCACCGTTCCCCATGAATCCCTCTGCAGCCTGCAGAAGCCTCTCGAGGAAGCCTCAGTGCACCTGCACTCGGGCAGGTGACACCTTGTAGTGAAGAGAGCTCCTGGTTTGCCTTGACGAGTCAGCTGTTCTCATTACAAAAACAATATCAACAAAAACCCCACCAGGGGCTTCCCCGGTGGCGCAGCGGTTGAGCGCTGGGTTGCGAAGCTGCCCGCAGCCTCTGCGGCGCCAGTTCGATCCCCGGCTGCTCCCTGGCCACCGGAGGAGGGTCCCACATGGCGCGCAGACCTCTCCTGCCACCCGCTGCTCCCCTCAGCAGTGTACTTCGGTCCTTCTGCCTGCTCTGCTCCCCGCTCTGGCTCTGGTGAATTCTCTCGCCCTCCCGTGCTTCTGACTGTACCCAGTGCTTGTATAAATAAACAAATAAATAAACAAAATAATTAAAACATGCCTCTATTAAAAAAAAAAAAAGCCCCACCAGGTTCTGGGATCAGTAATTCCCAGGATAAAGAGAGTTAAAGGAACTGGCAGGCAGAGCAGACTATTTACAGTCCAGGTCCTTCTCCGAGAGATGTTTATTTCTGAAGGCAGAAGTGTCTTCTGGAGAATGAGCAGAAGGGAGGGGAGGGCTGCCGCCATCATCACCCAAACTGGACTCAGGTGGTACATGGACATTCCCTGAAGGATGCAGATTAGATGGTGCTTGGAAAGTTGGTTTCCTCCCCAAGTGGGACGACAAGCAGGCCCAGCCCTTCCACTCACAGGAGAGGCCACTGGGCCCCGTCACCTCACTGAAATGGTGCCTGCTGCTTCTTTCCCACCCTCAGATGGATCAGCATTACCTTTCCAGACAGCGCAGCCATGGCCGGCCTCTTCCTCTGTGCAGAGCCGGAGAGTCGGTAACAGTAGTGGGGTTTGCAGTAGAATTTACCTGCAGGCAGCAAGAGGCGCAGCAGTAAGACTCTGTGACCCCGAACCTGACTCCCAGGCCTCAGGGCGCTCCTGTCTGTCTCCTCTCGCCACCGGGCGCCATCGCCACTGTTCCAGCCTTCCCCAGGCCTGGGTTTCTGGTCTAGGAGGTCTAGTCCCTCCCTATAAATTTTGATCCCACCCGCCTCTCCCCTTTGCCTGAAGGGAGGGGTTTCCTTTTGGGTATGTGAGGACCATTGAGCCATCACCCAATCAGTGTCCTGAGTAAAGATGTGAGGCTTGCATGGCAGGGCCAGCAAACAAAGTGGCAGTGTGTAGTGAACAAAGACATGGTCACATGAAAAGCTGGGAGTAGCATTTCTGGGGAAACCGAGAATGACTGCAGTGGGGTGGAGGCGGGAAGGCTGCAGAGCGTTAACCCCAATGGGACCCCCTTCAAGTCCCAATCACAAGCCAGCGCTGGTCAATCAGCAGCTCATGACCCCTGAGTGGGTCAGGATCAGTATTAAAAACAACACAAAACGAATCCAAAAAGCTCAGTCATGGACTAAGCAGGACCAGAATGAACAGAATATAAAGCATTAGAGAACGTTGTGGCGTCACTAGAGTTAAGTATGATTTCTCACAGACCTCAGCTGCGTCTCCATGTGTTTGCTGCGTCCTGATGTAACATGTATTTCCTGCCGGGGGTGTGTTCAAATGTTTAAAACACACTGATGGGTTTTTCCCATGTCACTGGCAGTGGGACTCACAGTAGGTCATGGCCCCCAACTCTTCTTGACTCCCACTTGAGGAGCCGAGGTCTTTAAGAATTAATGATAGGCCCCTCTATAGAAACTGTTGCAATAGGAGGAACCCCATTTTATCACTCCTGTTTGTAAAGAGTGCTCCTTTGGCAAATGAGCTTTCCTGTTCTCAAAGTTAAAACAAGAGGACCTAATCAGAAAAACAAAACAATAGGAAACATTAATGAAACTAAGAGCCCAGCTTTTGAAAAGTAAGCAAAATTCACAAACTTTTAGCTAGACTAACTCAGAAAAACAGAGCCTGAGTTCCATCCCCGGCCATGGAGCTACCCACATGGTGCGGCAGACCTCTCCTGCCTCGCTCGCTGCTCCTCTCAGCAGTGTATTTCAGTAGATCCACCTGTTCTGCTTCCTACTGTCTCTGGTGAATCTCTTACCCTCTCATACCTCTGGCCTACACCTCAGTTCTTCTAAGCAAAAATAAATAAAAATATTTTAAAAAAGACTTAAATAAATGAAATGAAAGAGGAGACATTACAACTGAAACCACAGAAACAAAAAGGATCACAAATGATGACTGTGAAAATTACACAGTTGACCCTTGAACAGCTGAGCTAATGGGTCCAGGTCTACAACTCAATATCAACAAAGCAGCCAATCCAAGCTCCAAATAAGCAGAGGTAAATAGACAGTTTTCAAAGAAGAACAACCAAAGCCAATAGCTTCTTAACACAACTATCGGGGAAATGCAAATCAAAACCAGAGTTAGCACCTCACAGCACTTAGGAGGCTACCTTCACAAGACAAGAGATAATAAGGTGGTGGTCATCTATTAAATGGCGGTGAGGATGGAAACAGGAACCTTAGTATACTTCTGGTGGAAATGCAATTTGGTGTAGGCAATATGGGTAGTATGGAGGAGCCTCAAAAAATTAAAACTATGATCTACCAACCCCACTTCTGTACTACATGCAAAGAAGTTAAAATTAAGATCTCATAGAGACATCTGCACGCCCATGTTCACTGCAGCATTATTCACAGAAGCCAAAGTATAGAAACAACTTCATTGCCCCATCAAAGATAAATGGAGAAAGACAGTATGTGTAAATATTTTATATAAAAACATCTTACATACTTCATATGTTCTATATATGATGGAATATTATGTAGCCACGAGAAAGAAGGAAATCTTGCCATTCACAGGCATGAGCTAAGGGAAATAAGACAGAGGAAAACAAAGTCTCCCTTACATGTGGAATCTACAACTCAGAAAACCAGAGGGGAATGGTGGTTTCAAGGGGGTATAGGATGGAAGAAATGGGGAGACACTGGTCAAAGAGTATAAAGACATTTTACTTTGGTGAGATTTGTATGTTATGGTTTTTTCAAATTGTATTGACCTGCCAATCATTTCTACGACAACGTTAATTCTGGTAGTACAACTTCACACACACCTGCATTTGAGCACGAATATCACTCACCCTCACCAAAGCTCCCTCCACCCAACCCCCTCTGGTAACCAGTATACTTTTCACAGATTCTAAGAATTATTTTTCTTCTGCATGTGGTTGTCCAGGTTTCCCAATACCATTTGTTAAAGAAGCTTCCCTTATCCATTGTGTGGCCATGGCTCATCCGTTAAAGATTAACTATCCATATTTATGTGGCTTTATTTCTGAGCTTTCCATTCTATAATATTTCAACAAATTTTACAATTGTTTGTTCCATATCCTCAAAATAATTCTATTCTAATAATTATTTTTATTATTATTAATTAAATTAGTTTGTGTTTTTTGGTTGTTTATATTCTGCAAGTGAGTGAAACCATCCAGTAACTATCTTTCACTTCCTAATTTTTCACTTAACCTCATCACCTCAAGATCCATCCGCTTTATTCCAAAAGGCATTATTTCATCTTTTTTAACTAGCATTCAAGTAGTCATTTGCCGCTGGGTATGCAGGTTGGTTCCATGGCTTGGCTTTGGTGAATAATGCTGTTAGGAACAGAGTGCAGAATCTTTTGTATTTGTGCTTTTATATTCTTTGGGCAAATACCTAGAAATGTATTGCTCAATCACACAGTATTTCCATTTTTATTTTTTAAAAAAGAATCTCCACACCACTTTTCATAGAGGCTGCAGGATGTAACAGTGGGTGAGTGAGCCTTTTTCTTCACATCCCTGCCAACACATTTTGCAGTCTTTTTTTGAAACAGGCCATTCTCACAGGGATGAGGGATTACTTCATCATCGTTTTGATTTGCCATTTCTCTTGTAACAAATGATATTGAAGACTACTTCATAGGCCTGTGAGCCACCTGAATCCTTTCTTTAGAAAAATGTCCACTTTGGTTTTCTGCCTTTTTCATTGTTTTTTTTTTTTTTTGTTTTGTTTTGTTTTTGTTTTGGGTTATCTGTTGAGTTATATGGATTCTTCATATATTTTGGAAGTAAATTCCTTGCCAGGCATATGATGTGCAAATATCTTCTCCCTGTTCATAACCTTTTTGGGTTTTGTGGTGGTTTCTTTCATGGTACAAAAGTTTTTAGTTTGATGTAGTTCGATTTATTTATTTTTGCTGTTGTTTCTTGTGACACTGTAGTTATGTATCCAAATACATCTCAGCAGTTGATATCCAGCAGTGTACACCTGTATTCTTCTGTGTATTGTATGGCGTCAGATCTTATATCCAAGTCTTTAATCTGTTTTGGATTAATTTTTTTTAAAGATTTATTTATTTATGCATACAAGAGCTGGGGTACAGGCCAGAGGTGCAGCGGGTGAGAGGATTCACCAGAGACGGAGTGGGGATCAGAACAGGCAGACTGACTGAAGTACACTGCTGAGGGGAGCAGCGGGCGAGGCAAGAGAGGTCTGCTGCTCCAAGCGGGTCACCTCCCTGGCCTGGGATGGAACTCGTTCTGCAGCGGCTGTGTATAGCTTCGTAGGTTGCGTCTTAACCCTTGCGCCACCGGGAGGCCCGTTTTGGATTACTTTTTGTGTATGGAGTCTAGAAATGATCTAGTTTCATTTTTCTTCTGCATGTGGTTGTCCAGGTTTCCCAATACCATTTGTTAAAGAAGCTTCCCTTATCCATTGTGGCCATGGCTCATCCGTTAAAGATTAACTATCCATATTTATGTGGCTTTATTTCTGAGCTTTCCATTCTATAATATTTCAACAAATTTTACAATTGTTTGTTCTATATCCTCAAAAAATGTTATTGTGATTCTGACAGGCATTGCATTGAATGTATAAACTGCTTTGGGTAATATGGCCATTTTTACAATGATAATTCTTCCAAACCATGAAAATGTAGCATTTTTCAATTTCTTTGTGTCTGCTTTTATTTTCTTTGACAGTGTCTTATAGTTTTTAGTCCTTCAGCACTTTATGAAATTTATTCCCAACTATTTCATGATGCTTTTTTGGTATGATTGTAAATGGGGTAGTTTTCTTTCTTTTTCTATTTTTAAAAAAGATTTATTTATTTATACAAGCACTGGGTACAGTCAGAAGCGTGGGAGAGTGAGAGAATCCACCAGAGCCAGAGTGGGGAGCAGAACAGGCAGAAGGACTGAAGTACACTGCTGAGGGGAGCAGCGGGCGGCAGGAGAGGTCTGTGCGCCATGTGGGTCCCTCACTGGCGGCCGGGGATCGAACCCGCACTGCATAGGTTGCGGGCAGCTTCACAGCCCAGCGCTCAACCGCTATACCACTGGGGAGGCCCTGGGGTAGTTTTCTTAAATCTTCTTCTCATTCATTGTTTGCATGTAGAGACACAAGAGATTTTTGTGCATTGATTTTGTATCCTGCCACTTTACTGTATTCATTTATTATTTCTACAATTTATTTGGGGGAGGCTAGCATCTTTTGGATTTTCTATGTATATTATGCCATCTGCAAATAGTGTCGGTTTCACTTTTTTTCTTTTCCAATTTGGAGTCTTTTTATGTCTTTTTCTTGTCCAACTGCTCTGGGAAAGACTTCCAGTGCTATGTTGAACAGCAATGATGAGAGTGGACATCTTTGTCTTGTTCTTGATCTTTGGGGAAATGCTTTAATTTTTTTACTGCTGAGAATGATATTAGCTGTGCATTTGTCATATATGGTCTTTATTATGTTGAGATAAGTTCCTTTTTCCCTATTTTATTGAGTTTTTAATCATAAATGGGTATTGGATCTTATTGAATGTTTTTTCAGTATCTACTGAAATGACATAAGATTTTTATCTTTCTTTATGTTGATGACGTGGTGAATGACACTGATTGATTTGTATCTTTAAACCAAGCTACATCCTTGGAATAAATTCCACTTGGCCATGATGGATAATTCTCCCACAGCCATGTGATTCTGATGGAGCTACCCTACCACATATTTACTCACCTCTGAAGTGAATATATGACCCAAAATGTTCAATCAGAATACACCATTGCCCCACCAGCAGCCCACCCCACAATATGATATTCTAGGAGGCGGCATGTGACTAAGTTAGGCTAACCAGAGACACTCCAGAGGATTATGATGGATTGTGAAAGGGAAAGACCAACCTTTCTCTGAGACAGTTATCTGGAAGGAAAAAGTAAGTCTAATGTTTAAACTTTAATCTGCTTTCTATTACTTATTATAGGATCAGAAAACTACAGTCAGTTATAGTTACTTTGCTCTCTTCTACTTTTTCCCTATAAATGTGCCTTTTCTACCAAAACAGAATCCTAGATTCAAAAATACAACTCAACAGGTAACTTAGTAGGTGTTCCTCCTTGCCCTCTGCTATGGTACCCTAAATTAATCAGAGAAATAGGCTTAGGTTTCAGAAACAATTCCACGAGCCTAACTAAGAGGTAATTTTCAAGAAAATTCCAAGGGAGTCAGACAACACGATGGAAGGAACCTGAGCAGTGAGGTCAGCTCTCTGTTTAAATACTGACTCACCCACTCAATAGGTATTTGAACTATTTAGCCTCTTGGAACATGTTTCTTCATGTGGAATTTGGAGCTATCACTCATCTGAAAGGGTGAGATAAGTGAATGATATATCACATTCCAAATGCTGTAGGTGTTCAATTAATGTTTCTCTTCATATGCCTTTCAAACTCAACTTGATAGCACCTTTTATTTTTACATTGTAGATCAGTAACAAAAAAGCTCAATTTTTACCTAGCATTTACTGTGTGCCAAATACTACAGACACTGCTTTATGTCTATTGATCGATCATCATTGAATTCTATCATTTAAATGTCAAAACTACCTTATGAGGTAGGGACTGCTGTTGTCTATTCATCTCTATCCAGTTGAGGCACAGAGAGGCTAAGCAGTCTTGTCAACATGTTCCATACTCAGTAACTCTCAGAAAGGATTTGAACCTAGGATATTTGACTCCAGATTCAGTACTTTTAGCCCCTACCCAAGGGGCTAATTCTGCCTTAATTAATAACACAGCTATACTAATGTTATGAAATGGCTATAAACTATGGGTGATTCAGTCAAGTTACTGATTTTAGATAAATAAATTAAGGAATTTTAATAATTAAATATGGGAGGGACAGGAAAGGGGAACTGGAGGACACAGATAGTTAAGAGGCAAGCCAAAGGTAAACTGGATCATTTATTCATTCATTCAGCAGCTTACTGTGTGCCACGGTACAACTCTCAGTATACTAATCCAACCACTGAGAGTCCTCCAGGTCGAGGAGACAGTCTCTGATCAATGGAGCAGGCCATGTGCATGGAAGTAACAGCACCGTAGGGCAGCTTGGTGAAGGCCCCTCAGGAGGGATGTGTACTTGGGAATGTGAATGACTGTGAAGACTAGGGAAGTGCCTCCCAGGAGAAGACAGCTAGTGTGAAGGCCTTAGGTAACACTGGCCTAATCGTGCTGATGGAATGAACAAGAGAACTAGGGCAGGAGTGCAGAGAGCTAGGGGGCAATGGACAGTGAAGAGGCCAGAGATGAGGCTGGGGAAGACTTGCAAAACTTGGTCTAGGAAAAAGATTGCAGATTCTACACACACTGCAGAGAGTAATCACGGTACAAAGCAGAAGACAGATGAGATCTGATTTACATCTATTTAAGCTCCCTGGTTGCTCCATGGAAGCTGATGGAAGGTGGAACTGATGGAGGCAGGGAAGCAGGAGTTCAGGCGGTTAAGTCTTTGTCTTGACTTTATAGAAGGGGTAATCACACACCCATAAAATCATATTTCTTGCCTAAGGTTGGTGCTTGCACATTGAAACTAAGTCCTATGCCCCTGGTTTGCAGGCTCTTCTGAAAGGTGGCTGAGTTGTGCCCGCTGCTGTCACCCCTCTCCAGCATCAGCATCTCTCAAATGATTTGAGAGTCTACTGCACAGGGCCAGAACCTAACTTACTGTGGTGGTCACACCCTGGCCTCTTGTGGCAACTACTGTTTTTAGGCTGGAAAAAACTTGCTAGGCAGAAGATAGTGAATGAGGTAAACAGAGAGCAAAGCCTGACAGAGGCAGGCCAGCATGCCATGCCTACCATCCGAAGACTCTCGAAGGTTAACTTACAAAGTCACCAAAGACACTGACGATTCCTACAGCCATTCCTGCAGATGTTAAGGCATTCTAGGCTCATAGACGAAGAGGGTCAGTCCTTGTAGGGGAGGCGCTAATTCCATTATTACACTGATAGGCAGTTGCCTGACTGTGAGGTGAGGTAACATAGGTGAGGGACACCATGGATTAGTACTGGTCACTTCAGTCAGCCAGGCTCTCCTGACTGACTAAATAGGCAGCTCTGTTAGAAACAACAGGAAAGCAACAGCTCTGTTAGAGCCAAAGAGGTAAACTGAGAAAGGTCAACTCTTGCCACTCTGGCACCTGGCCCTCTTGTTAGGTATCAGATTTTCTGTTCCACTGTCCCGATACACATGCTCTCTGGATAAGGCCTTTGATCCCCAAGGATCGGGGTTGGCAGACATGGCTCACCTCTGTGTCTTAACTGTCCTAATGCTTAGGTTACTTCAGGTAGCCTTTCACCATGAGGTCTACTTGGAAAGAAGATCCCTCAAGGGCCAACCACTTGATGCACAAGTATTTTTGTGCAGGTTCCCCAAGGCCTGGGCTGCCACTCACCATCCTCGATGTCATAGGCGTAGGCCGAGAGGCGCAGGGTGGTGGCGCAGTACTCGCACTTGAAGCAGCTCCGGTGGAAGAACTTGCCCTCGGCGCTCAGTCTCTCCATCACGTAGACCCGCTTCTGGCAGAAGTAGCAGGTGTCGCTGCCGCCCAGGTTTTGCGGGAACTCCTTCTTTATGGAGCCCTGTGAGGGAAGGGGAGCGGGTCAGGCCAGCTCTTGGCTTACCTCCAGGGGGTGCGAGACCCTGCTCCTAAGTGGAGCGGCCCCCACCAAACAAGGGTGCTTCAGACACACCGGGAGGGCACGCCAAGCTATCCGCTCTCCAGAAAGAGCAGAGCGGACCGTGCCCGGGCCAGGTCGCGTGTGCCCCCGCGGGCCCGGCCCAAGGGGCTCCTGAGTTCGTATCCATCAGTCCCCAGCAGGAAATCCAAGTTCATTTACAGAGTTTCAAAACAATCAGACCAAATGCTTTTGACAGAATTTTGTTTTGAGCGTGGCATGAAAATATATATTACAACAACAAAGGAAAATAAACAAACGCCCCCTCCCCCTGAAATAAAACTAGCTGCATTCGGCGTTCAAGCGGTCCTAAGAGAACTTTACAGGGATCATTTTTAGAGATATGGTATGTTTTTCCACATAACATCTGACAACTTCTAGAGCCCTAAATACCCAGTTCTCAAAATTCAGACAACCTCAAAAGCATTACCCCGTGGCATATCTTGGCTGTATATGTTAATCGCTACTTCGAACAAACCAGGTTTGTTTACCACAGCTGGGTTATAGCTAGACAGACAGTGCCCTCAGCATCCTCTTACCAGTTCCTTCTTGTCTAGAAGGGTTTTGGGCTGTTCCTTCCTTTGAAGCTGATTGGCTATCTGCTCAGCCAATGAGCTCACTCCGCCCGTGTACATCTTTATATACTTCTATTGGTTGGAGATTATAAAATGACCAGAATGAAGGGAAATGAGAAGGGAAAAAATTAATAAATAAATTGAGAAGACAGGGAAAAAAATATTTGAAAGGTATAAAATGAACACAAGGTGCAGCGCAAACCATGCCAACTCGGTGCCCACAAGCAGGGAGAAAAGAGGTGTCAGTGTCCACACAGGTTTCAGCACGGGGGCGGGTGACGGCTGCAGGAACAACTAAATCCAGGATGGGACAGCTCAGCCTTTCACGTCTTCTGGGAATATACAGAAGAATGGGTAGGAGGGGTGATAGGATGGGGCAGATCCCCAAGAAAGTAGGAAGTGTCAATATCCTAGAGCCTCAAATTATATACAGGAAATTCAAGAGGAACAACTCCCATCCAGGCAACAGGTGCCCAGACTGACAGCGTGTTTCAAGGGTCTGGGAGAGGGCTGGGAAGTTATTTCCTCATGTAGAGAGAGACACCAAGCTCGTTCCTACGAACGCTGACTCTCCACTTGGGTAACAGATGCCAACAGCCTAGTATTAACGTGTGGTAACTTCCTCCTTGTTAATACTTCGCCGACAAGCACTGTCATATGTCTCCACTATTTCCAGGTTTTGCCTGCAAGCGTCTGTGCTCCCAGTCATGGTCTCTGTTCTATGCCGGCTCCCAGGCCAGAGCCTTCTAGACTGAGTTGGACATTTTAAAGTTGCGGAAGGCTAACAGCTGTAGCGATCAGACAAGCTGCTCAATTCGTCCTGGGAAGTCAGAGTGAGTTTCTAGCCCAGGTGGGATTATTTTTTTATAGGTTCAAAAGAGAAAAGAAAATAATCTAACCGACTCAATTTTCTTTCTAGCAATGCTGAAGAAATAATAATAGGAGGAAACCACCTAAGTTCAGTCACAGACATTCCTGCTAGGCAGCCTCATCCCCAGGGAATGAGGTCAATGAGGCCTGTGACGCTCAACAGACTCCACGTGCCCCTCACCTTCCACGTGCACTGGCCATTGCACTGGGGGCTTGTGACATTTCTCTCACAAACCATAAGAGTTAAGGGGCTCCCCATCAAGTTTGAAGAGCCAAGTCTCTAATTCTGACCCAGAAATACACCAGGAGCAGCTGTGCTGGGATGCAGCAACCTGTCGCGAAGTGGTTTGAATGGACAAATACACACAGCCCCATGTTCAGGAATCCCTGCCCTGGGCATGGCGTGCCCTGGGCTGCACAGGGTCAAACCAGGGAGGTGCGGTAGGGAGAAACTAGCTATGTGAACATGAGATTGACAGAAGCACAGGGTGAGAAGACAATTTTTGGAGGTTCAACTGGAACTGAGGAGTGGCTATTTCTCAGTTTAAAATGGTGCCATTTGCCATTTAAAATGGTGCCAAAAGCTGTGGGTATAACTCTACAGCTTATACCCATCAGTGGCTGAGAAAACCCAGTATCTCTCAGATGCAAATTTTCTCTAGATTGGGGATAACAAAGGAACCTCAAATGGGCAGACACCAGGTAGAGCTCGGTAGACACCGCGGGAGCAGAGCACTGCACTCCTTTCATTCGGTAGCAGACAAGTGAGAGCGTGAACCAGATGTCAAACATGAGGCTGGGGCCCTGAGTGAGGCCTGGGTCCGCACTGCTCAGCCAGGACCTGTCTCTAAACTAGAAACTGGCACCCTCAGCCCGGGGCTGCCAGTGTGTGCAGGCATTTGCCACATTCAGTTCTCAGCAGTGTGACAGCACTGGCAAGTATATTCCCCCCAAGAGTTGGAGACTCAAGTTGTATTTGTTCCTGGCATGAAAAGCAGATAGCTTCTCTGCCCCACTCTTCAGAAACAGTGGCAATGTAGCAACTGCAGGACTTACACTACTGCACTCCACACACAGGCTTCCACACACGGACTGCAACCTGATACTATGCAAGGACAGAAAACAAATAAAAGGGCCAAAGACCCTCCAATTTCTCCATAAAGAAAGGACTCGGCAGCTGGTTCAGTTCCACGGTGGGAATAGCCAGGATTGTTTCTTAAATGATCACAGTCAGGAGGCCCCCAGGACTCGACATATTCACCATCCCGTTCAAGGGGCTTGGTTACACTGTGACTTCTGTTTTTTGTTTTTTTTTTAACATATTAATATGGAGACATTTGGAGTTTAAAATGCTAATGACTGAAAATGTTTATTGTTATTTGGGAGGTGAAATACAAAGGATTTACTCTGCCAGAATGCGGCTCCGTGAAAGCCCCCAGCTTCTTTGACTTAGGTACAGACCTCACGTGCAAAACAGACACAGCGTGTAACACCACGTGTGCATGCACACACACACACGCGCACACACACACAACTGGAGCTCCACACAGGACAGGCCAAAGGTAAGAGTTCTGCAAACTCTCTTGGGGCAGATGGCAGGTGGAGGTGAAGTGAGTAGAGGCCGAGAGGAAACAGCTTGCACATCCCAGGCGGCGCTACCTGTCGGAGGGAATCAGAGGAGGGAGAGGCAGGGCGGTTGGAGGAGCGGAGACTAAGAGAAAGCTCCCACTGGTCGACAAAAAATCGACGAGAAGGTTCAGGCTCTGGCTATAAAATACAAGATGGAGAAAAAAATTCAAAGGAAATGTTAAATTAAAAGTTACACACCCCACATGTAAGGAGTCTGATGGTTGTAGACCCTTTAGCTCTAGACCCTGATCTAAATAACAAATGAAGTCAAGAAATACTCGCAGTTCCAGAAGCACAGGTGGCTCACTGAAGGTTTCGGTCTCCTTTTAGCTTGCCCTTCTCTCAAGCATGGGAGGAAGCCCGCCCTGGAATATGGCACGGTGCACGAGGGCACCTTTGAAAGCCTGGTCTTCTCTAGCCTGGGAATCCATCGACCCCAAGCAGGTGATGCCGTCAGCAGGGAGACACAGAGGGTGGAGGTGCTGTCTGCTTAGGGACGTGCTCTGTGCCCATTGGAGCCCTCACTGGCCTGATGTGGGATTTCTCCCGGGCAAATTCAACTCACGGCAGATTCCATCATCAGCTCATGACTGCATCAGCCTTACAAACAGTAGACAACAGAGACACAAATGTGCAGTGCAACTCACTCCAGCTACAGAAAGCGACAAGTGAGGCCTCTCCTGCTTATGTGACTAGTGCTCAAAAATGCTCTGCTGGTGGGATTCCAGCAGTGGCCCAGAGAAAGGACTTCAGGCCCCCAAGTCCTCTGCAGGCCACATGTGGAGCATGTGGAGCAGGCTGCAGGCCACATGTGGAGCATGTGGAGCAAAAGCGGGCAAGCCAGGCCCTTCCTCAAGGTGGGCTTGTACAGCCAGGAACTCTCCAGGGCGCAGAGAGTGAGAAGGTGGCTGTGAGCAGGGGTGGGCAAGAGCTGCAGTCTCCTACCAGGTGCTGGGGAAGAACTGGCAGGGGAGAGCTACATGGTATGAGAAGTCCTCTGCTCCTCCAGCTCCAGACTCATCCCTGCACCTCCTACTTCAGTCCACGTGATAGAGCCTCCAGGGGTGATGACAGGGAGTGGGGAGCATTACAGGCACTAGTCCTCAGCTCAGTCCTGGGGGTGGGCTCATAACATCTCAGGGGGAGATGGGGAAGTCCTCTGTAGAAGAGTCGCAATGCCCTACTCCTCCCAGCTGGCAGATCAGCCAGTGCTAATGGGGCAGGGGAAGAGCGTGAATGATGGCAGGGTGGGGAAAGTTCTAGGAGAGAACAGAAGGCGACCCTCTAAAGTGTCCAGACAGGAGCCCTGCACTGAAGGACCTAGAAACTAGCCCATTTGGAAAATAATGCTCCCAGCAAATCTTATTGCTCCCTGAGCTCAAAACCCTACCTTTCCTCCTCTTCACTAGAGCCCCAGCCTTCTAGTAGCTCCTCTGCTACATTCTCCTTGCATTGAACACACTTCCCCACTCCTCTTCTTCCCCAAAATGGGTCTGCTCAGTGAAAATGCCTGGCTTTCTTTTTGAAAGGAATATAGCCTGGGAAGGAAGTAAAAAGAGGCCGGGCATGCTGTGCTCTTGGGGGGAAGAGGCCCCAGCACAGCAACCAAAGCTGAGCGAGGCTCTGGGCGAGGGACGAGGACATCCACCTTCCACCCGGTCCTGCCCTCCACTCCCGAGCCAGCACACAGTCCACGGGTGCTCCAGGCAACACACAGACCGTCTGCCTCTTCTGGTTCGGCGACAGGACAGAGGAAGCCCCCACTCTGACGAGCCTCCTCAGGGGTGGAGAAGTAAGCAGCTTTCTGCTTGGCCATCATGGCATTTCCCG